TATTCTTATCATAACCCCTCCAAACTGTTGGTGCAACCTTTTATTATTACCTCTTTTACAGATGAGGAAACTGAGGCTCTCTGGCTTTCCCACAGTCAAAAAGCTAGTTTCTCAGGCAGGATTTGAACCCCAATCTATGTCTAGCATGCTATCCATTACAATCATTCAACATTTAATAAGTATTAATTAAGTACTTACTGTGTGCCAAATTCTTACTCTCCATGAGTGTACATGACTCAGTAAAGACAGTTGCCCTCAGCAAATTGTTGGTTAGTTAACTAAGGCTCCGTTTTTTATTAGACAATGGAATTTCCTTTCTTACTCAAGGGCCAAATTTCTCAAGTACCATTCTCTCTAGGAGGCTTATGCAGCCTGGCATTAGTCCAGGGACACAGGCATTGATGGCATGTGAGCCTGAAAATGTACCTGGTGATTGGTCGGGTCTGCTCCTCCTCCAAGAGAGCTGGGGAAAATCTGGGTTGCCATGGGGTGTGGTCTGCACAAGTGACTTCAATTTGTCCTACCCTCTGAAAAGAAGTCCTTCTCAAAGGTGCCAGACTGATGAGAGGTAATCCAGATTACCTCTGGGTAACTGCATTATAACAATGTGTCATTCATTTAATCATCTGTGTTAAATGCCAGAAGCTTAGGCGTGTGCACCCAGGGAATTTTATTTTTAATTTTTTTAAGGAAAACATTCATTGACTGCACAATCACTAAGGATGTTATTTTTATTCATCAAACTAAAAAAACTAAAACTTAACTAAAGTTAAATCTTTAATAGACAGCTAAATTTTACTTGGGGGCAGCTAGGTAGCACGGTGAATAGAGCATCAGGCCTGGAATCAGGAAGACTCATCTTCCCAAGCTTAAATCTGGCCTCAGATATTTACTAGCTGCATGACCCTGGGCAAATCACTTCACCTTGTTTGCCTCAGTTTCCTCATCTATAAAATGAGTTGGAGAAAAAAATAGCAAACTACTCCAGTATCTTTGCCAAGAAAATCCCAAATGGGGTCATGAAGAATGGAACATAACTGGATAACAACGACAAATTTTCCTACAAATATAAATGGGTTTGCCTGGATGTACCTGTGTATATGTGTGTGACTGGGAGTGATACTAAGTTTAGATAAGATATATGCTCTCCTAGAGCATTCAATCTATTGTTGAAAAGACATATACATAGATAATTACAACTACCATGTATTTTCACAATGCTTTGCATGTTATCTCATTTGAACTATAATATAAAATAATACTAATAAGTGCATAAGAAAGGTTAAAAACAATGCATTATATAAATTACAAAGGGAAAAGTCATTACTGACTTAGAGGTAGGGTGTCAAGGAAGGGTTCCTAAAGGTGGCATTGGCCTCACCTCCAGTAATGCATGTGCTTACAACCTTTTTTTCCCTATATTTGAGATAGATTTAGGAGGTCTTTACCTGTCCTCCCAGTTGCTAGGGACTTCCCCTCTGAGGCTACCTTCCTTCCACTCTGCATTCATCTTAGATGTATTCATATGTATATATTGTCTCTCCTATTAGAATGCAAGCTCATTGAGAGCTAGACCATTTGCTTTTTTCTTTTTATCTTCCACACTTAGCAGTGCCTAGTATAGTAAGAACTTAATAAACACTTAATGATTTTCTAATTGATTTACACTGGTTTGTCCACACTACATCACCTGGGCATTTGCCTCCTACCTTTCTCTTCTCCAAACCGAATGGCTTATCCAAAGTTGAAAAAAAGAATTTTCTAGAGCATGGCTGAAGGTTTATGTCCCTACTCAAACACCAGTCCTGGTTGCTTCCCTATTCCCTATAAGAGAAAGTACAAACCTGACATTTAGGGCCCTCCACAATGTGTCTCTAGCCTCCATTTCCAGTAGTATTTCACATTCTTCTCCTCCCACCCTCTATAGTTCAGACAGACTGGACCACTAGCTCTTTGCCAAACTCATTCTCCCCTCACCTATCTCCATGTTTGCTCATAGACTGTCTCCCATGCCTGAAGCACACTTGCTTTTCAATTCTACCTGTTGAAGGTTATGTCCAACAGTAAGCCTCCCCGAGTTCCCAAATGAAGGATCTGGATTTCTTCTTTTCTCCTCATATTCCAACTTGTATCATATTCATTTGCATACGTGGCATATAACCCCCTCTCACTAGATTATAATCTTAAGGGTAAGGACTATGGTGTAACCCCAACTCCCTGAAGAATGCCTCAAAGACAGCAAGTGCTTAAAAAATTGCTGTTGAATTGGATTAAGTATGTAATCTATATTGGGATAAGAGCTAAGTGACCTATATGGAGTCTGTGGAGAAGACATTTGTTAAGTGCCTACTATGTGCAACACACTGCTAGGCTCTAGGGGAAGTTGCAAATGAATTAAAACATAGTCTTGACCCTCATGGAGATTACAGCTTCATGGAGGAAGGGGGAAGGAGACAGAGAGAGAGAGAGAGAGAGAGAGAGAGAGAGAGAGAGAAACAGAACACTGTAATACATTATATAATATGATATATGCATTAGAGAGTCCAAGCAACATGTTATGTGTGGTCTAAGAAGCAAGGTCATTGCTGAATAAAGGCATTGGTGAATGCTCTCTGAAGGAGGTAGTATTTGCCTCAGTTTTGCAGAATGGATAGGAATTGTCATTTGAAGACAGAATGGTGGCCATTCCACAGATGGGGAGCTGCAGGGGCAACGGTGCAGAGCTAAGAAATAGGGCAGAGTCTATTAGAGAGTGAAAAAAATCTTCAACTTTGGCTGCACCAGCATTGGGCTCTAACTGGTTTAATTGGCTACTTATATAAAGCCACTTTATATGAGACGTGGCCTGGTGAAGAAGGTAAAGACCCAGTCTTAGAATCAAGAAGTAGATTCAAGGTGTGTGACCTGGGAGAGTCACTTAAGCCCTCAATGCCCCAAGCAACTCCCTGATTATAAGTTACAGATGAATTGTTGATCTATATCAGTGAAGGAAGTTCTCCACAAAAAAAAAAAAAAAAAGAAATTCTCAGGTCCAGACCAAATGATGATGATGATGATGATGATGATAAAAAACACTACTATCATAGTATTAAGTACAGTATAGTATTATAGTATTAAGCTCCTTTGAGTACTAGGATGAAGCACCATGTGAATTCCACAGAGAAAATTTCCCTTTTTCATTATCAAAGATAGTAATGTAAGTAACATGTCCTAGTTTCCTACCCTAGCTAATCTTTAATCAGTTGATAAATTCCTATGATTATTTGCTATTTCGGAAGGTCCTTATTACATGGTGGGACCTTATTTATCAGCTAACAACATCAGCCATGCTGGTACACATTATGCTAAGCCCTGAGGTGGTTTCCAGGAATCTTAAGTCACTCCTGATCCTCATTTTAGCATAGTACAGAAAGCTCAGCTTACCTTACAGTCTATTTGGGCAATTATCCCATTGCCTCAGGGAAGTTAAAACCTGCCTCATCTCCATTCTTGGCAAAAATCAGTAAGTAAATTAGTTTTTTCCAGCCCTGGAACCCCAAAGAATGTCTGTTGTCATAATTCCTAAGATGACTCCTAAGTACATTCATCCCCATCCCTTCCCCAAATTCATTTCTCTTCTTGTCCCATTGGTCTATTTTCCAAGCTGACCAAGAGCTCCCACATGAGACATTTATTGGGAAAAGAAGCAAAGTATATTATATATACCAAATATCCATAGAATCACTTTTTGTAGCAGCAAAAAAGAAATGGTAGAAACAAAGTGAGTATCCATTAATTGGGGAAGGGATAAATACATTGCAGATTGTGGATGTAATGGAATACTATTGCACTGTAAGAAATGACAAATATGAGGAAATCAAAGAAACACAGGAAGACCTGTATGAACTGATACAGAGTAAAGTAAGAACCAGGGAAAAAAAGAATACACAATGGCAACAATGATGTAAATAAAACCAAAACAAAAAGGCAACTGAATTCAAAATAAATGCAATGACCAATATTAAATCCAGAGATCAGATGACTATGGATACCAAATCTGGCAGATATGGATGCAGTTGTATTGGCAAATTTTGCTGGACTATTTTTTTGTTGCTGTTGTTACAAAAGAAGGTTTAATGTGGAGGATGGCATAGGGAAAAATTTATAGGGAAAAAAATTATGATGTAAAAAACAGACATTAATAAAAAAAATTTAAGAACTTTTCAAAAAAGGAGAGATGAGACAGAGAAGAGCATGAAAAATATGGTTAACCCATTACTTTCTCTAATGGAAACTCAGTTAAAGGTACACAGTAAAAATACCTATGGAGCTGCCAAGATGCCACCCGTCTGAACTTTGAGCAGTCATGCAAGTACCCACGCACCACATTCCAGCCCTCCGCTAGCATAAGCAACATGTAAGTCCAAGCCATCCACAATGAGGGATGGCTTTGGGGGATGGCCGAATTTCAAAGCTATCCGAAATAGTGAGACATGCATGGTAAGATAGTGCTGGCCAAACTCACCAATGACCACAACCTTCTCCTGCTGAGGAAGAATGACAAAGATAAACCAAATGGGAAAATTAAGCAAATGAGAAGATTCCTGCACCACTAATTAATCATCAGTGACTCAGAGCTGGGGATGGGGTGATGGTGACAATGCAATGACAATATCATATTGCTGTTCCCACAGTCCCTAAAAGAAAGGTTCTTTTAACCACTTCTGCCCAGAGAACAGTGAATTAACATTTTTTTTTCCTTAAACCTAGACCAAGCCGCGTCTTGCTTACTACCCAGCTGTCCATAAGTTTCTAAACATTAGCTGCCTTGAACACTGACAGCCAGTGGTGTCTGCTTACAACTTTAATAGCAGTGACTTTCCTCTTCATTCATTCCCTTCCTTTCTCCCTCCCCCTCAATCTTCCAGATAGCACTCACCGACACAGGCACACAGACACCAAGCTCAAGACGCAGATAAAACTTTTTTTCCGCCTGCTGCCCAAGATAACCGGAACCTTACCTGCGGGAGCAGGAACTGGAGCTGTCCCTCTGTTGCTCCAATCAGTGGGGAAGGCAGGTTCACTCAGTTGCTGTTTTCCTTTTCGCCTGGGGTCGAGTGCTGCTGCTGCTGCTGCTGCTGCTATTTACGCTGCTTCAGGCGTCTGCCTCCTCAGAAGCCCTTTCCTGGCTTCAGAAACCTCTGAGTTATTGCAGCTCCTTGTGGGGAAAGGTGGCGAGCTATGGCATGCACATCAGGTTGCTGGAATTCCTCCAGCCACTGCCACAGAGCAAGCTACTGGTCCCAGAACTCTGTGTGGGAAAAGAGAGGCAGGGTGAGGATTCAGCTGAACTCCCTGGGTCTCTAGCTCTCTCTGGCTCTTGTTTATCACTGGGCAAACAATTCCCCCCAGACAACCCTTCCCCCATGCACACACACACACACACACACACACACACACACACACTCAGAGCAATTCCCCCCCTAGACAACCCTTCCCACACATATACACAATGAGCAATTCCAGACAATTCTTTCTCATGCACACTACACACACACACACACACACACACACACACACATACCCCACTACATTTAAGAAAACTTGACTGAGAACAGAGATGTGAAATAATTCTAGACTTTCATCTGACAGACTTCGAAACCAACGAAGTGAAGCAATGGGCCAAGGGGACTGAGGGACAGGCAGTCACCAGGCACCAGTGGTGCCTGCTCCCACAAGGGTTTTTGTTTTTTGTTTTTTTGTAACGTGGTTTGTCTTAGGGCAGATGGCCCAGCTGAATGGACCACTGGCCTCAGCTGAACAGCCTCCTGTTTATTTTGAGGCTTTGGTCACCAAGGAAACAGCAGGTCATAGCTCAGAAAAGCTTCTCTGAAATCGGCAAATCACAGGATGAAAGAGAACTAGCTGTTCTCTTTTCCCTTTCAGATCTATCATCTGGTCAGAGTGCATGTGTGTGTAGGTATCCATCCGTCTGTCTGTCTGTCTGTTTGTCTACTTTTGTTACTAAACCTCGAGGGAATGGGGGTAATATTAAGCAAATAGCAACTCCCCAGATCAGGGTCAGGAAGAGATGGGGTCAGGTCTGAGAGCACATTTCAATCATCCCTTACCTGAATGGACAAGTAAATTATCACAGATAACCTAGGTTTGGCCAATGGAGAGCATGTCAGAAAAAAGCCTCTCCATTGAGCGCCTACAAGGCAGTATTCGCCTTGCTAGAGTCCACCTGAATAGAAGGCCATGTGTGGGAGGCTGTCTGTACCAGAATAAACCATTGACAGGAAGGTGAGAGGAGAGACCATGATGAAAGACACTGGTTGAGGAGGTAGTCTTGGAAAGGCTAAATGGAAATGTGGTTAGCAGTCTTCTGTAATTAGGGAGGTTCTCTCCTCCTCAGAGAAATCTAAGGCCTGCTGTGTGTATCTTTTATTTGTTTTGGCCTGTTAGTTATTCTCTGCATACAACACACCATCTTCCATTCCTATGCCTTCGAATAAGTGATTCTCCCATGTCTGGAACACACTCTTTCCTCCCCTCTGACTTGAAGAATCCTTAGCTTTCTTCAAAGTGAAGCTTAAATACCAGCTCTTCCTACAGGAGGCCTTTTAAAGAGCTATCATTTTCCTCCAATCAATAGCATTCTCTTTCCCCTTTGGATAAGACTTAGCATTTCCTTACTAGGGAGCATGTTGTATCCCCCAGGAGAATGTAAATTCCTTGAGGGCAGGGATTATTTTATATTTTGGTCTTTCTTTGTCCATTGCCTCACAGGCATAGTGATTTCGTACATAGTAGGGGCTTAATGTATCCAATTATAGGACTGCATGTGCTCTCCCAGCCAGCTACCTTGGTTTCTGATTCATTTAAGTTATAGACTGACCTGTCAGAACTAGAAAACATTCCCATCCCACCCCTGACTCATGTGGGCAGCTGTCAGGACCAGAGTGGCTTTTGGGAGAAACTTATTATCCTGTATGAAGGAAAATCAGAATTCCTCATGGATGCAGAGAGAAACTACCTTTCTGAATCTAAGAAGGCTCAGAGTCTCTTTTATTAGCACTGGGAGGCTCAAAAATTCTAGGCTAAGTAAGTAGCATCAGCTTCACCTGAAAAGGCATTCCATCATAATGGAGCCAGGTTTTATCAAATGGAACTCTCGTTCAGTAGCCACTTTTACACATCACAAGATCATTTGGAAAATGAGTGGGTTGAACCGGATGATAATGGATAATAATTACCCTAGGCGATGTATGCCCATCTGATTCATCTCAGAGAGATGGCATTGTTTTTGTTTAATTTTCTTGTGCTCTGATTTTTAGTATCCCATATGAGGTAGGAACTCTAATAATATTTAATAAAATAATAAAATACTTGAGTTCAAAGATACCTTAGAAATAATCCAACCCTTTTTATTGCTAAGGAAAGGTAAAAACTCCTTTTTACCACTAAGGAAAGCTGAGGCCCAGGCAAGTGAAGAAACTTGCCCAGGGTCACATAGCTATCGTGTAATATAGAGTCAGAATAGAAACTCCTATTTTCTTATTTCCCAGCTTTTGTTTTTTAACCATGATAACGTTGCCTGACCATCCTGGATAAGAATTTTGTCGTTCAATTGTTTCAGTTGTGTCCAACTCTTCATGCCCCCATTTGGGTTTTCTTGGCAAAGATACTGGAGCGATTTGCCATTTCCTTCTCTAGCTCATTTTACAGATGAGGGAACTGAGGCAAACAGGGTGAAGTGACTTCCCCAAGGTCACATAGTCAGTAAGTATCTGAGGCCAGATTCAAACTCAGAAAGGTGAGTTTTCCTGATTCCAGACCTGGCACTCTATTCATTTCACCACCTAGCAGTTGAAAAAAAGACATAAAGACAGAATGCTACTATGAATTCAGTAAGGCTTTGCAATTAATAGTAAGGGAGTAAAAGGAGGGAAAAGGAACAAGCATTTATTAAGTGCCTGCTAGGTGCCCTGGCACTGTGCTAAGAGCTTGACAAATATTATCTCATTTGATCCTCACAACTCTGGGAGGTAGATGCTATTATTATCCATATTTTACAGTTGAGGAAACTGAGGCAAACAGAGATTAAATGATTTTCCCTGGGTCACACAGCTAGGAAGTGTCTGAGGCCAGATTTGAACTCAGGAAGTCTTCCTGACTCCAGGCCTGGCCCTCCATCCATTGTGCCACCTAGCTGCCTGATAATAGAGTTTACTACATCGTTTTTGTTATTTTTTTTATGTTTAATGTGCCACAAAAGGCAGCATGGCATAGGAGAAAGAAATTCAGTCTTGGATCCAGGAAGACCTGTGTCCAGGTCCTGCCTTTGATCCCTACAGGCTGTCACTTCCCTTCCCTTCTCAGCACCTCAAGCAACTAATACGCTATAAGTTATAGAGAAGGTGCTGACCTGCTTTGGCACAGGGAGTGTGCCCATCCGGGTGCTTCCTGTATCAACGAAATCATAAAGGTATGTGGTTATATTAGCTAGAACCCAATACAGAAACGTAGACATTGGTCAAGCCAATATGAAGGAGATAGGATTCCTGTTCATATGATCGGTATTCACAAGTGTTAGTTTATGAACTGGCTTCAAACTGCAGTGAGTGCCCAGCTGATAAAATTATAGATTTACAGCTGAAAGGGACCTTGGAAGTCCAACCCACTCATTTTACAAATGAGAAAAGTGAAGTCAAAGAAGTAAGTGATTTACCCAAGGTCACCTAGGTCGTCAGCAACACAGGTGGTGATCAAACTCCGATCTGGTAACTCCAAAGTTCAGCACTCTTTTGTGATATATTATGTGGTTCATCAAAATATTAAGTATAGGATGATCAGTGAGTCACTGAGAAAAAAAAAAAATGGTTTCACTTTGATGTTCATTACACTCCATTTTTGTTTCAGTCAGATCCATGTATTTATTTTTTAAATGACGGATAATGAAAGAAGTGCCCTCCTGAGTGATGCATGAATCCATTAAGTAACCAAAATCAGGATGAAAATGATCCTCTGACATCTCACTCTATAGTATTCACTATAGAGAAGAATTTGATTCATTCTAGGATCAGAGGTGGGAAACCTGTGTGTGCCTTCTAGGTCCTTTTGACTAAGTCCAAGTTTGGGGTGGGGTTTTGTTTTGTTGTTTGCTTTTTGACTAGGCAATGGGGATTAAGTGACTTGCCCAGGGTCACACAGCTAGTAAGTGTCAAGTGTCTGAGGTCAGATTTGAACTCAGGTCTTCCTGACTCCAAGGCCAGAGCTCTATCCACTGCACCACCTAGCTGCCCCGACTGAGTCCAAGTTTTACAGAACAAATCCTTTTATTAAGGGGATTCAGTCAAAGGGCTGCACTTGAAGACCTAGAGGGCCACCTAGAGGGCCTCGAGGCTGCAGGATCCCCACCCCTGTTCTAGGTTCATCTGTGACAAGCAGATAGGACTTCAAGAAATATCAAAAATGGCCTCTTTCATAAAGCTAGCATGTATCCCTAAGAGAGTGTTATGGTGAAACCTCAGTAGACCAAGGCTTGCAATTAACTGCTTTTTAAGCATCTGGTCTAAAAAATACCAAAGATGCTATTTGGACCACAGAAACTCCAGATTTCCTCAGAGTGCATCCAGACCTGGAGGACATCAGCAGTGATTAAGAATTGAGTTTTCCCCTAATGATCCTTAAGGAAATCAGAGGAGGAGAGAAAAGGACATATTTGGGGGAAAAACAAAAAGCCTTCATTTCTTCCCTCATTCTGGGAAAATGCTTGGCTGAGGAGCATCCAGAGTTCCTCTTACAGAAAATGACTCTGGAGATATTCTGCCAGAATCTTGAGAAAGGTGGAAGGAAAGCTCTGTTTTGAGTTGCTCTGTGGTCAGTGCATCTGAAAACCAGTTATAGAAATATCCCTTTCTCTCTGAACCATCATGAAAAAGCTAAGCACTGGGTTGCGTTGAGCTTAATAGGGAAATCTTTTTCATTTCCCTTTCATCCACAAATCCTCCCATTACTCCATTGCTTTTCCCTTTCTTCAGTCCTCTCTTTTTGTCCTGGGCATCCTAAGTTTAACCTGGCTTCTGGTCCTTGACTCCAGAGACTGACTTTTTTACACTTGCCTTAAATTTTTCCTTTCTGTCGACATGTAAACAACTAACTGGGAATGCAAACCAGACACCCTGCATTTTCTTAATAAAATAATTTGGGCTTATTCTGGTGCAACACATTTACATGCACATTAGACAGACCTTTAATTTCATCTTCAAGTTCCCACGAGCCACACAGGCAAACAAATCCCAGACAGACGAATTAGTCAAAATGAAAAACCAGGTGCTTGGTCCCTTCTCAAAGAATCTACCTTGCATAGGTTATTTATACATAGATTCATATAAAGCATTAACTGAAGAGAAAATGATGATATTCTAAAAACCAGCCACATGACTAAGAGGGGTGGATAGTCCCTGAGGATAATGTATACCACCCTAAGATGATGTGACAGCTGTGAAAATAATATTATCAGCTATCTATTTGCCTACTGCAAGACAAATTGTTATTGGCTCAGAATGCTATGACTCCCTGGTAGCTTGTAAACTTGGACAAATACACAAATCTTCAGGGTCAAAGGATCATAGATGTAAAGCTGGAATATCCTGTAGAGGTCAGCTGGTCAAGGAGATGTTGACATTCATCATATCTATCCATAGCACAAGAAGTAGAAATGAGAATTTTAGGAATACCTCAACAAAGATGTTTTGATGAGAATGAGCAAATATTGCTAAAAATCTTTAACTTCTATACCTCAAGATTTTGGTTTTGTCTTCTTTAATCCAAATGAGTGGGAGTTGCAGAGAGACAGGGTTAGATTTGACTTAAGGAGAAATATTCTAATAATTAGAGCTGTCCAAAAGCACGATGGCCTACCTGGGGAGGCCTACCTACCTCACTGAAGATCTTCGTGCAGAAGCTGAATGACCACTTGTTGGACATGTTGTTGTAGAAGGGATTTTTGTTCAGGTAGGGGTTAGACTAGATGGCCTCTGAGCTTCCTTTCAGCTCTGAGATCCCATGATTCTGTAAACCTTTAAGACCAGAATCTGGTCACTTTCCCAACCCTGCAAACCACTCTATGAGGGAGGGTTACCAGCTTTGGTCCTACCTCAGGCAACAGGGGCAAAGACACTGTGGACACCTCTGTGATGACAGCCAGCAAACCCAGAGCCCCATCACGAATGACGTATGTGGCCAATGGCGCCTGAGGCCCATCTCTAAGCAATGCTTGAGAAAAGACCACCTTAGTTATTAGCAAACAAACAAACAGACAGACAGACAGATTTCCATTGGTAGGGGATCCTCCCATGGAAGATGCTCTCTGCACACATTTTGCTACTTCTGCATAGGGCGATGTTCCTGGGGCAGTGGTTGTACCCAACTTCAGAGAAGCTCTAGGATATTTCCTGCCTGACCAAGGATGAGTGACCACCTTGTGGAGGCTGTTGGGAATGCAGTTCTCAGATGAGACTAAGGAAAATCATCTCAGGAATTTCAAAGTTTTCTTTTCCTTTAAGACCCATAATTTGAGCTGTTTGTTTTGTATAATCAGGAAGAGGAAACATTAGTGGTGAGCTCTGGATGAGTAAATAATGAATGGAAAGGGGAATGAAGCTTCATAGAAACCTAGAAAGGTAAGGACTTTTAATAACTCATCTAATCCGACCTCCCTAAACCACTCAGGGCAAATGTCTGCCAATAAATCAAAAAGCATTTGTTGACTGTCTACCCCAATGTTAGGTAAGAATGCTGAGAGGAACAAAGATACCATGAGCCCCCACACTTATAATCTCCCTGGGAGAAAGTACTAACAGACATGAAATTATAAGAAAGCAACTAAGTGTCCAGCTACATGGTCTTACTATTAGGGCAGTAGGAGTTCAGAAAAGACAGAGGACACTGTGGGCTGGAGCAGATTTAGAAGGCTTAATAGTGGGATTAAGTCTAGGTCCTATGGGTAAGACATGGATGGGACTAAGGGACTGGGAAGAGCACTTGGCATACATGGAAATGGAGGGTGACATGAAGAATAGAAAAAGCATGATCAGGGAGGTAGGAATGAGAGGGATGGGTGGGAGAGACTGAGCAGATCTGCCAGTACTTTTTTGTTTTAAATTTTGTTCCGTCCCATGACTTCATCAGTGTAGGGAACTCCCTCCACAGAAGTAAATGGGCTTCTGTTTGTACTTTTTAATCTCTGAGAGCAGTCTGGGGCATGCAGGGCTTACGTGATTTGCCCCTATGGTTACTAGCCTGTGTGAATAGTAGGACTTGAACCACGGTCCTCCTGGCTAGAAGGCCAGGCCTCTCTATCTACTGTGCCACACTGCTTTCATTGTTCTATGATGCCTCTCTTTGGTTGTTTTTCATAATTTTGAGATTTTCAGGGATGAAAATTCAAAAATTTCTTATAATGACCTGTAAACTGATTATACCTCTCCTTCGTATGGTGTGAAGTGGGGAAGTGGGGGAAGAGGAAGGTGTTCTGGGACAATTCTAGATGACAAAGTAAAGTTAGACACAGGACTACAAGTACCCTGTACCCATTAGGATTTTGACAACCAATAGTCAACATGGAAATCACTTGTCCAAGGCTTAAATGGAAGTCCTGCTCAAGAGGAACCAACTGAGGGGTTATCTAATAAAATGAGCCCTTGAATAGAATCCCAGCTAGTGGAGGGTTTAATGGACTCCCAAAGTGAATTGTTCTATTTTCTACATCAGAGCTAGAACCACTTTCCCTCCATTTGAGAAAAAGAGCAACGTGCTACAGTGAAAGAATGTTGAACATAAGATCAAGAGGGAGTTGGATTCAAATCCTGTCTCTTTCACTTACTAGCTTTGTGACCTTAAGTAATCTATTTAACTTCTTTAAATGGGACTAAGAGCTATAGTACTTTAACTCATAGGTTTGTTGTGAAGTTCAAATGAGATCATAAAATCGAAGATGTGGAGCTGGGAAAGACTTCGGCTGCCATGTAGTCCAGCCCTCTCATTTTACAAATAAGGGACCTGACACTCACAGGGGTTAAGTGAACATGTCTAAGATCTCACAGGTAGTAAGCCTCAAAGGTTAGATTTGAACATAGTCCTTTATTTCCAGAGAAAATCCCAATGTATGTGCAATGCTTTTTAAACCTTCAAGTGCCATGTAAATGTCAGCTATTATTATTTTTAAAAATAAAAAATTGAAACCATAACAACAAGAAAGGGATCCACATAGAAGCCTGGGCTAGTCCACATGTTAAGAGGCACAAACACATACGAAACCATGGCTATGCAGAAATGTGTTTCTCTGCCATGTCTGCAAATCCCTCCCACAGCTTACCGAGCAATTCTCCCCAATGGCTGGGCTTTCTTGCTCCTTTCTCAGCCAAAGGAAGACATCTTTAGAGCTGATAAAAAGAAATATAGTTTACAGGCCATGCAGGTGGGAGGTGGGGGAGGGGAGGTTCCATATATCCATTCACCCTCTTTTGTCCAGACACTAAGGAGACAAATGGCAGCATTTTATTTATTCCTCATTTCCTGCAGGGCTTTTTAAGAGCAGGCACTATCTCCCCTGTAATGGGATTGAGCTTAATGATTTCCTCGGAAATGGCTTCTCCTGTATAAGCAAAGGTAATTCAATTGGCAGGAAGAACCTCCCCCTTCAGGAATCATAGCTCTTAGATACAGGCCCTCCTGAGAGCAGATGAATCCCAGGATGCTAGAATCAAAAGGCCAAGGGCTTTCACTGTCTGTCGCATGCCATCTGCCCAGGATTATGTACAATTTTAATAGAATGGGAGAAAAGGGGCTGGCTGGTCACAAGCACAAGGATCAAGGAGGGAGAGGAAAAGGGTGGCTTTTGAAATCCTTTACATTCCTCTCAGCTGGGAAAGGAACTGGTGAAAGGCTGGGCTCCAAGAATCCTCGCTCCTCAGGGGGTCATACACTCACCTCCTTCCTCTGGCTCTGACGGACTTTCAGGGTCCACTTCTGTATCAGGCACTGAGCAACCAGAAGCAGGGCCTCTAAGCTGCAGTAGGAAGGGAGTCACCACTCGCAATTGGGAGGAGGGATTTCCCTTAAATCAAGAGAGTCTCTCTCAGCCTCCTGAGGTCAGAGACTGAATGGTCCATTTGCCCTCTCTCACACAGGTTCTCTCTCTAGCTGTAAATAGGACTCAGGAGGAAAAACACTCAGAGCCCCCAGGAGGAATGCTGAATGTAATACCACACCCAGTTCCAATATCTGATGGAGTTCCTGGGTGGGGGGGCCGGTCCAGCGGATGATGGGAGCTGAGCTAATTGTAAAGGCCACAGTGGTAAGGCCCTGACAAAGTGTGGATGACGTCAGGGAGCCCACTGAGGACACTGAAGGACAAGCACTTGGGTATTTGTTTTTCCCCTTCATGTGATCTTATTTTTGGAGTAGACAGAAGAGCTATTTGGGGGCTGGAAATCAGCCAGATGAAAAGACAAGCATCTCATGAGGACTGCCTCCCTTCTCTCTGCATTATTTCAGGTTCCCTGCCTGGAAAGCCTCCACTCTAGTCCTCTCTGTTGCCTAGTTGTGAC